TGAAACGACTGACTCCATGCAACGATTGCAGTCATAGAGAAGACGGGAGGTGTTCCGTTAGATGGCACCACTGTTTATCGCAAGGGGGCTCCGGCGGCCGTATTGCGCTCCGTGTACCGCAACTCATCGAATACTGTCGAATTCTAACGATCACTCCCGATCCATTCCGAATACTTACGATTACGCACGAACGATTCAATATCAAGTGCACGACCCTCTCCGTTCTGATGAGCACATGGAATGATACGAATGATGATGCGTGCCATCAATTTTATTTGTACCCTTATTCCTTTATCACTCCATAGAATGTTTATATTTCTCATTTCCCGATGCAATTCACCATTCGAAATTTTTATATATTAATCGTACAAAAAATAAAGAAATTATCTTGTATTATATGATACATAAAAAAAATATTTACTAATAATAATATAATACATTTTACTAATAATATAATACATATGCGCATATATGTGTATATAACTGCATACGTACATCATTACTCAAAAATATTCAGAAATTTGTTTATTTTTAATAGGAACCAATTTAATTATAGTTAATTAAAATAAAAAATAAACGCTGATAATTTTCATTTTTTTCTTATTTATGATGGCAATATATCATAATATAATTATAATACGATAAAATTATTTGTAAAAAATTAATATCCATTAAACATTATAATAGTTTTATTTTTTTTATTTATAAATAATTTTTTTAAATTCTATCAATAATCTATCATATTAATTCCAGTAATATCATTTAATATCCATAGATATATCAGTAGATTAATTTTATGTTTGACTTGAAAATAATGTCAAATTTTTTAATATATAAATCATTTGAAATTATAATTTTTTTCTTGATTTTATAAGTAGATAATAAGTAGATATTTTTAATTAATATATATTTATTATAATTCAAATTTTATTATTAAATTGATTAATATAATCGATAGTATGATATATAATAGTATATATATGAAATACAAAATAAAATCTTACAAAATCTTTATTTTTACTTTTATTAATTTCATTAAAAATTTACAATCTATTAATAAAATATTTTTTTTTATTTTTAAATATTAAAAAATATATCTCTGATATTCAAAATATTCAAATACTAATATAAGCGAAAGTGTTATTAGTTGTTATAGTTTATTAGCATTAAAAATATATTTATATTTTAGTTATGACTTAATTATTAATAAATTGGAAAAAAAAAATTATATAAAATATAATATTCAATATTTTTTGAAGTTATATTTTATAGATTTATTAAAATGTTCGAGTATCAAGATTTCATTTTATATCTATTTATCAAAAATTATTTTATTTTGACAAATATTCTTAAAATAATTCAATAAATAATACAATAAATAATTTCATAATTATATTACATTTTTCTTACATATTTGTTTTACTGAATACATATATTATAATTGATATTATTTTTTAATATATAAAAATTGAGACTTCAAATTATTTTTATTTATCATTTATTTATTTTTTTCTTTATTTATATATGTCAATAAAAATGGTAAAATGTCAGGAAATTTTTCATTTACCAATTGTTCTATACTCTGCATATTGTTATTCAACAGTGATAGATTAGTGCATGGTATTAATAATTTACAAACTGATGTTGAGCGTGCTATAAGTGCTTTATGTAAAGGAGTATAATTATCAGCATCTTTTAAATTAGGATTTGCATCATATTTTAACAAAAGTTCGACAATGTTACAGTGACCTTGCATAGCTGCTCTATGTAAAGCAGTGGCTCGACCACAGCGTGTTTGTGCATTCACGGCTGCATCATTTTCTAATAACATATTACAAATTTTATAATGTCCGTTTCTAGCTGCATAATGTAATGCTGTATATCCAGCTGAATCTTCTATATTAGGAGAAACACCTTTCTTCAATAATGTCTTTACACGATCCAAATCATTATATTGTGCTAAAAGTTACATAACTATTAGTAAAAAATAAAATCTTGAAAATAATGTATTTAAAATTGAATAAATTTAATTATTTACCAGCATACCATATACCACGTTCAAACTCCATTTCCATTAAAGATTGACAAACACTGACATTAGTACTTACATTGCAGCATTTATTATGATCATTATAACTATGATTATGCTCCATGTTTAATATAGGTACAGATTTAATACCTGAGTGATTTACCTGTCGTTCCATTAAAAAAAATAAATAAATAAAATTGCATTTAAAATCTCTTACTATACAAGTTTAAGTATTAAATTATTATGGATGGAAAATAGTTTTTGATAAATTATTATCAATAATAATGAAAATATATATATATAAGAAAGTATTTTTAGATTATATTAATCATATATTTTTTAACAAATTTTCATTTACAATATGCAAAAAAATTTTGTTTACATATATTATTTTGTTTACATATATTATATATTATATAAATTAAATATATATATATATATATATATATTTATATAGTGAATATATCGAATTCATATATGAAAATAAGATCGGTATATAAAATTGACTTTTATGTAACATATCGTATTTCAATTATTTTGTAATAAATAGAATATATCGATTAATTAGTATATAATTTCTTTTCATTTCGAAGCGTGATGCTGTGCTAACACATGTTGAATACGATACAAATTCTATCGCACATTATGTAATAATCCTAGTTTTGATTCCATGTATTATATATTATAAATATTATTTCGAATGTAGACAAAAAATGACAATTTTTTTTAAAATTAAAATGTATATTGCATATCATGCAATTTGATATATCAAATGCATCAAATTTCTTCATTAAAAAAAAAATTCTGAATTTTAATGTATTATCTAAACGATTGTTAATTAATAATTTCTGCACAAATTAAAAATAATGAATAAAATTAAGGATATTTTTTTTATCATTTCTATATTCTATTATATAATTTTATATGCTTAATGATCGTTTTTTATGCATTTTTATATTAATAAATAAAATAATTAACTACGAAGAAAAATATTAATTTTATCGGAAATATGTAGAAACTGGAATCTATATCTTATACAGTCTTATTAATATCATAATTATTATCATTATCATTATTATTATTATTATTATTATTATTATTATTATTATTATTATTATT